GTGTACCTTTGAACAGTTAAAATCAAAAACATACTCATATATGAATAAGTTGTTCAGAGTGATTTGATCTGACTCCAACAATATCTGTATCTCTCACAAAGAGACAGAAAAAAAAACACAACTGCTGCTCAAAATTATCTTGTGGCCATGCATTTATTTATTAAAATTCACCATTATTTTGTGTCAGCGTGTGACATACCTTGTGTGATGTTGGAAAGTAGGCAAGAACCCAGTGGCTTCACCAGTTCTGTCAATATTAAAATAATCCAATCAGGGTGTTGTTGTTGTTGTTGTTGCTGTTGCTGTTGCTGTTGTTGTTTAATCACAATCTTTTTATCCACAGATCTTAAGCAGACACTAGTTCCTGTGAATAAATCAAAGTCAGTGAAAACAGTAATAAAAGCAGTGCAAAGTGAGGCGTTCACACTTTCAGTTTATTCTGTAGGATGAAGTGGGAATGCTGTTTATTTCTCAGGTGTTTAACATTTGTTTAATTGAAATGAAACTGCCTAATGCACCAAATGCTTTTAAACATAAGTCAATGCAGTGATTCACGGACAATCACTAAAAATCTAAACTCCAAATGACTTCTAGTTTTGTATCATTGTGGGGAAAACCACTCATCTCATCCTGCTTAAGCTGTTTTTATTCAAGCCATTATTGAGCGGTTTAGTAGTGTAGATAAAACAATTCATCCATTATGTTTTTGTGATCAGAAGGAAATCTTCAAAAACAGTCTCTAAATGTGGGACACAATAAATTGGCATAGTTACTGTTATGAAGTTTGTGAGTTTAAACCTTTATCTCCTCCTTCATTCCTACAGAAAGTGATCTTTGCATATCTGAATCACCTAACAGTTGGTTTTTATTTGTTTTGCTGTATAAATGAATGATAGTCACAGAAAACACAAAACTCTTACCACTATAGTCATTTATATTTATTTAGTTAAATTTCCAATCAGGGAGCAATATTATCTCTGCAACGTTATCTCCACGTGTAAATTCAGAATTTAAATAGACTAATATTAATAATATCTCCAATCAGTGCACTGATTGTTGAGTAGGACAGAGTTGAGCAGCAAAGACTGGAAAAAGTAATTTCGTCATTTATTATCAACGCTCTTTTGACAATAATATAAAATGTCAATTAAAACCAGTTGAGCTGTAGTTACAGATGGGAAAAAGTTTTATTTCATGTTTCATTGTAAACATGTGTGATATTTACAGCACAAAAAATAGATTTTTATTGATTCACAGTAAAACTGTCTCAGGTTTTTTTCTGGTCCATTGGTAATACACAATGAACGAAGCTTATTTTTCCCTTTATAAAGTTATACATTATTCAAACCAAACACAGCAAAGCTTGAAGAAAAGGTACTGCAGCAGCTGAAACAACAGTAACGTTGTTGGTTTTTTTATTTGTTCACATGACCATAAAACACAAAGCTATAAATCTTGATGATGTCTTTGATTTTATTAGACGTTTATTTCAGCCCAGGACTTGGCTGAAAAGATCCRAACTCTCCTCAAGATCCACTCTCGTAAAAGACGATCTGACAGGTCGATGCCGTCATTGTGGTGCTCACATTTTTATTATTATAAGGGATTAATGCCTCCATAAAAATTGCCCAAAACCAGAATTAACTGCATGTCACAGCCTTTTGTATCGGAAGTTTAAAAGGTATAAATTATCAAGAAATGTGACAGAGGGTTTGCTCTCTGTTTCTGGATATTTGTAAATCATACAAAAATCTAATGAAATGCTGCTTTGATCAGCAATAAAGTTTTGACTAAATAAGACGGGAGACTAAATTTTTACTTTTGGACAGGCTTTTTTTATGCTACTTCTGGACCATGATTCATTCGAATATAAATCAAGCTCATGGGATTTATCTGTACTGTTTCAGAAACCAGCTACATAAGAAAGAAATACTTTTTGTTTTTAACTTCGCTAAAAGCCTGTCACAGCTTGCTCACAACCTGATACAGCCTGGTCAGGTCACAAATCCATCAGTCGTGTGTATTTTTACATTTTTACACAATAAAAATGTGTTTTTTATGCACATTTTTATTTTTAAGTTTTGCATTAGAAAAGGTTGATGGAAACGGCAAAATTCGAAAAACCATCAGTTTTGCAAAAAGTTTTTACGCTTGCTTGAGATGGTTTTTGGATTTTACGAAAAAGAGTTGATGCATAAAAGAGGAGATGGAATCATTTGTTGAATAAGTTCAGACGTAGTGAACATTTAGCTCACGATCGATCAGCTGTTCCCACTGTTCCTGGATATTCCCATAACGTGAAGAGAAGTGCATTATTTCTCTACATCTCAGGACAGCATGTAACATCACAAGTACTAGTTGATGTGACAGAATAATTATAACTTGCCTGAAAAACAACGTACTCCTGAAAACTTCTCTCCATTGTCTCCAGATGTGTGGTCCCTGATAGTTTRCAACTWCTACTTCCTGTTTATTACAGCCATTCRTAACGTCAACGTCTGTTGAAATTACACTTTGTATAGATTGATTTGCTCCAAGCCAGTAGATGGAAACACGCCTGATTCACTTTTATTTTGTTTTTATCTTTTTTTTTGGGACATTTTAAAAGTTCGCTCAAACTTTACATTGCAGTTTTTATGGAAGCAAAACTATGGAAACAAATAACCATTCACACTCACCTAGAGGCAATTTAAAGCWACCAGTTAACTTAACATGCATGTTTTTATGGTGTGTGGGAGKAAAACCTGGAGAGAACCCACATGTGCATGGAGAGAACATGCAAACCACCCAGAAAGGCTCCAGGCCAGGAGATGATCCTAAAACCTTTTTTTTTTTTTTGCTGGAAGGTGACAGCCCCACTGTGTAACCAACAGAAAATATTGTTGCAAAACTAAAATAAAAAGGTGAATTCTAGGAAGGATGATGCAGTTTTTCATGTCAGGCATTTGATGAATGATTTTCTCATTTAAAAATAAGAAACCACTATTCTTCAATCATGGTTCATGGTTCTATGATAATTTATTATTTTCTATAATACTTAAATTAAAAGTTGTGCTTTTAATTATTTACTTTTAAAATACTTGATTAGTGAATATATTATATCATATACAACATTAGGCTGACTCCTATGAAACCAAATATTTAGTTACTGCTGTAGGATTATTGTGTGCTTTCTGATTAGTGATTTTGTTGATGGTTGACAGGATTTTCTATAAACATGTTTGATACCAGTGAGTGTAATGGTCTTCAGAAATGTGTTTATGAGTTAATGAAGGGAAAATAATCTAAGATTAAAAGAAAAAATCATGTTTTTAAATCCCTGTGTTTGTTGTTTGTGATGGATGCTGTATTAGTGAGCACTGTTTGAGAGTGAAGGGTTGCATGRGGATTTATTCAAGTAGGATGTTGCCAACCACAAGAGGAAAAAAACTGCAAAACTGAAACCTTTTTGACAAAAATAATTGTGTTTTTCTCAAACTCATTTGATTGTTTATTCAAATACTTAGTTTCCTTCCAAAGGCTGACTCAAAGATGGTGCTCATTGTCCATATTGAAAGTCAATCAGCAAAACGTTGAAGACGTAACCTAACATTAATAGATTAACTGGACTTTAATTTAAGCCGTTTTCCAGTAATCTAATGCTGCTTTCTGCTTCCAAACTCTGCTTCAGGATTTGTCCAGTTAAAGTCGCCCATAAATGTTGCTCCAACCAAACCATCACAAGATTATACATGATGGTAATATAAATCCTTTAACCTGACATCTGGCCTGCAGACCTGCCAAYATATGTCATTATGAAAGCTGCAGCTTCGTTTGAGGAATTTTTACCGTTRTTACAGCATCAAAGAGATTCTTTGAAGTGGTTGACAGGATTTTAAATACCAACCAAAAGTTTAAAAAAATATGATTGTGTAAAACTTGAGTCAAAGAAAATTTCCCTGGTTTTTATAATTTGTCAGAAATTACAAATTAAATCAAACGGAGGTTTAGATTTAAGGTTTTTAGTGCAGATGATGATGGCAGAGCAGAAGGTTTTCTTCAGCTGATTGTATTATAGCTGGTTTTGAAAGTAATATGTCCACGTCAGTGTCATCTGTACCCCTCCATACATCACCTCTTTGTGATATTTCACTGTCGTTGTTTCAGGGTCAGCCCGGTAACAGTGGACCTCAAGGACGACAGGGACCCCCAGGACCTATTGTATGTCAGGTTTTTTTTTTTACTTATACTGTATACTGTATATGTATATATATTGGGATTGRTGTTTTTTTTAAATCTAGAAACCCTTTCTGTTCTGCCTTCAGCCAGCTTCTGTCTATTTTCTCTCAGGGAGTCCCAGGAGCTCCAGGTGCTCCAGGACCAGGTGGATCCTCAGGGCATCCAGGAGATCAGGGACTTCCTGTGAGTCACAATGTCCAGTTCTTTCACTTCTAACAAACTGCTTTTATTTTTAGAGACTTGTTCCGACCTGCGATTTCACTGTCATTGTTGCAGTAATGATGCTTCATCCAGCCATTGTCTTCGCACGCGTTTGTGTTTTCGAGTCGCGGGGTTCCCTGGTACCCATATCCATCAGTCGCTGTGCGAGAGAAAACACGGGAAAACACTCTGGACAGGTCACAAGTCCATCACAGGGCCACACGTAGAAAGATCCTGTGCAGATTATGTGTTGGATCCCAGTCTCAGCAGCTACCACATCCAGGCAGATGTTCTTCAAGTTTTAAAAATTCTGTTTTATGGCTCATGAGCTATTTTAGTAATGCATACACACAAACACACGAGCAAAAAACATTATCATCAGTCTTCTCCTTTCAGTGACAGACATTAGTTAGTTTGCACAAACAGGAAATTATAACTGAAAACAACCAATATAGTAACTCAGCTTTCCCTCCAAAACTCTTTGCTTTTTGCTTTCCAAGAAAAGAAATGAGAGGAATTTAAGTGAAGAAGACAACACAGACAGGAGACGGAGCTGAGATTTAAAGTATGTGTAACAGTGACCATAACAGATGATGCTGTGATGTTGGTGACAGCTAATCTAGTCTGGGGTCAGCTCTCCACACCAGAGGCAAGTTTGGCTCGGAGAGTCGATCTATAAATCATTTATGTCCTCCCCGGCTCAAATACATTCACGAAGACACAAGAAACCAAAAAAAAAAAAGAAGAAGACAGATCAGATCTGCTTTATGTCTGAGACACAGAAAACATCACTGTGAATGTGCACACATGCAGCTTATATCCACAGGGGGTTCAGTCAGCTGACCTCCTCTGAAAATAGTTTCAAACTTCKAAGTAGCATTAAATCATTAAACCAATCCATTTTCCTGCCTCTTGAGACGCAGACAAATTYTCTTCCCTGAAATCGTTGCTTTCATCTGAAGCGGCTGCTGCCCGTTTAATCTGGAGACAAAATGTATCATTTTGCTTTCAACCAGCTTTTGTAACGTAAACCCAAATATCTGACCACTCTGAGAAAACCATCATGGGTTCACACGACCTAAGGCTTCCCAGCACGTACTGCAGCCGTGTCACAGATCTTCAAGTTCTCCTGTGTCTCTGTGCGTGAAACTCAAGCTCTGTGCATCTGGAAATGTTACGCTCCATCCATCAAGATCAGCCTTCGCAAAAATTGTTAGACTTTTATAACAACTACGCCTTATTTAGCCTTCCTTAATCGTTAATAAATGGTTAGTTAACCTTGAAAACAGCATTAAAGTGCCTGTGACATCAATTTTTTGTGATAAATATGAATGTATTTTTCGAAAGATAACATTGATAACATATTGTAAAAAGGATTTCATTCCGCCGAGATGAACAGTTGTTGAGATATTTGCATGTTCAGTAGCAGGAAGTGATGTCAAAGGGGAATATCCGAATGTAAACACAGCATTGCTAAAATGACWAACAGCACAGACTGTAGAGAAGAATCTGATGTTTCTTTAGATTATTTTAATCACTATTATAGAGAGATGAGGAAGAATCATAGTAGAAATAATATTGTTTAAATAAACAAAAACCAGTGAGTTTTCCTTCTCGTAGAGTTCCCCTTTGATGTCACTTCCTGTTTCACTTTAGCTGAGCCAAGTTCAAAAGAAAATATGCCAATTATGTGACATAATGGGTAAAATCATGTGCATTAAGCCAAGTTTCTTAAATATAAATATAGTTTACTCAACGTTTTGTATTTCATGAATATGCATGTCACGGGCATTTTAATAAAGGATGATTCATACTTAATAAGCTGGTAATTAACACAATTATTAATGATTTACACATAAAGGCTAACCACTTCCAAACCCAACTTACTTGTTTACTCATGCTTAATAACTCATGAACTAACCATTCTGTATACCGTGTACATGATAATGCTCATATAAATGTACTTTGTGTTAGACATTAATGATTATAGAACATTTGAATGACTTTACTAATCCTGCAGTGTATCAGTAATTAAGGCAGTTGCCTGTAGTTAATCAAGTATTTTTGAACCACTCTAATGTAAAGATTTATGTTTTATTATATATTTGTTAATGAAGCCTGATTGGCCATAATTTTTCACCTGTGGAAATCATAGTCAGTTCAAACATTCTCTAACCACTAACACATATAACACTTTGTGTAAAAGTACATTTATATGAGTATTTACATACATGTACTGTATGTAGACTAGTTAATTCATGAGTTATTAGGTGTGAATAAACAACATACAGTGATGGATATAGTTCCCCTAAAGCACTAAAGCCCTAATAGGGGAACAAAATTTCTGATTAGTGCTTTAGGGCTTTTGCTAATTTTAGAATCTATAAGTAGATTAACGCTTGCTAAGTTTATAGGCTRAATTTAGAAGCACTAATTGAGGTCTATAAATGTTATTGATCAACGTTAATGTTAACAGTTGAGGGTGAAAGCTGTCAATCATTTTGTTCATGTGTGTCACTTTTCCACCAGGTGACAATATATGAACTCAAAAACAGCTGTGGAATGTCACTGATAAGTCTTAAGAGAGCAACATGGTGATATGTGACTCGTCTGTTGAAGAATGTTCATGGGTTGACTCGGTTATTTTAGTGCTTTAGAATTAGGGGATCTAAATATTTGAGTTAGTGTTTTAGGGCTAGTGGAACTAATTTTTAGATTAGTGCTGCCCACCACTGACAACAAGTATGTTGGTTTTGGACGTAATTAGCCTTCATGCATAAAGCATTAATAAATGTGTTAATTTATAGCTTATTGCGTATAAATGATCCTTAATTAATGAAGTTTTCAAGGTTAACTAGCTATTTATTAATGATTAAGTAAGGCTAAATAAGGTGTAGTTGTTGTAAAGTGTTACCCAAAACTGGGATGACCATAATAGGTTTGTTGAAAATCTCATTTTTACTGTTTGACTGACCCCCCCCCACACACACACACACACAC